TAGCAAGATTAAAAGAAGCTATTCTATCATCTATCCTATATTTGTGAGTCCAAAGTCCTATATGTAACTTATCTGTAAGCCTAACTAAGGAAAACTATAACCATAACTATCTGTCTTCAACTCCTTCAAAGACCACAGAAGGATAATATATAAACTCTAGAAATGACAGACACAACTCACTGCCTGGTCACCCGAAGTTCTTTTGTAATCTTCCATCTTCAGCCCATAGGCCATAGTGTGTCTGGCAGACTCTCCAGTAAAGCAGGAAACTTTAAACTGTCTTCTTGTATTGGCAGTTTGTCAGTCACTTTTCTCCGTGTCCTGTATACTGTCTCGCAGACTCTTCCATGAAGCAGGATCTCTGTAGCAATGTCCATCTTGAATCAGGAGTCACTTTCCTGTGGGTCCTGCATGTCCAGTTTATATAGCACAAAGTCAAACAGTCCATATAAGAGCAGTATCTTGTCCAAATGGCCAGTCTTGCCATATTGAAAGCAAACTCCACAACGCGTTTCTTCAATGTCCATCTTCCTTTCTGGTGCAGGTGGTATTACCAAGAGCAATTGTGCCTCACTGTCAAGAAAAACCCTAAAACATTTTAAATGCCATATTCTGTAGGTCTTTGAAAGGTTTGAAGAATGCCTATTTATCTCAAATACATCTCTGTGTATCTTGAAAACCTAACTAACTTAACTCTAAGCTTTGACTATCATAGATAATTATCTATAATCTGTACTACATTATATTTCTATATAAACACAATACCTAAACAAGAGGAGAAATATACATATCACCTTATTGACCTTAAATTGTATCAATAAATGAAAATCTATTCCAAAACAAAGTATTCATATCTATACCATAATTCCCTTTTTACCTTTAAAAAGAACTGGCTGTGATCATTAACCATTTATACCCAAGTCCATTTAAATGAAAACAAACATTTATAAACAATATTTGGGAATTTGGGCGTCGTTCTTTCCAACTACTTCCTGCTGATAGGGGGCGCTGTCATGGGGATCCTAAGAAGATGCAGAAATCCTGGCTGTAGTCTGCAAGTCTGCCTTGTTAAAGCTGTTTTGAATGTTGGATCATCAGGAACTCTGTTTCAGGCGGTCTAGCTTGCTCAAACCACATTAGTCTGGAAGGAATCCACAGCTTTTTATTTTCTGTGGAAACAAAAATAGAAATCCTTTTCCCCAGTAACTTGTCCTTGAACTTAAATGTTTGAGTCAAAGCATTTTTAAAATATACAAATTGAATTAATCCAGCAGCATTTCCTTTATCAGTTGTTGTTATTTTCTCAGCAGTCAAACAATGCAGAGACAACACAATAGCATATAGTAACCAGATTCTCTCTGAGCTTTTCATCTTTATGTGGCTTTATTATTACTCTATTTTACTTTTATTTTTTTATTTTTTGACATAGGGTTTCACTGTGTAACTCTTATCTGTCCTGGAATTTACTCTGCATACCAGGTTTACTTTGCAAATCACAGAGATCTGCTTGCCTCTGTCTCCTGAGTGCTGGGATTAAAGGCGTGTGCTACAACACCCAGTTCCTCTTTGTCTCTTTAAAACCATTTTTTTTCATGTCTACGTATATTTTAAAACACACTGTAAACCTTTAGAGGTTTTTCTTAATATGAATCTGTCTTTACTGTAAATCTTTATCTTCGTCTAGCCACAAGTCTTTTATCTGGTAAACAACAACATTGCTAAAATGAAAGTCATAGCTGTGTCAGCCGCGGTTTACCAAAGATGGTGGCGGGTCCTTTTTTTAAGCTTTTGTTAAATTTTAAGTATAAGTTCTTAGCCACGTTGGGCGCCATTTGTAACGAGTATGGATTTTTCCGCCTGCTGCTTGATCTTGTCCCGCCACCAAGCCAGCCCCAAATAATACACAGAGACTCCGTATTAGATATAATTCTGTTGGCCCTGTTACTTGTTTCTTATCGGCTAGCTCTGCCTTAATTATTAACCCATTTCTGCTGATCTATGTATTTCTCTTACCGGGGAGCCGGCGGCATACTGCTTTCTCCAGACTCTCCATCTTGGCTCCTCCTTCCTACTTCCTATTTCCTCCTTGTCTCCTAGTCCCTCCTATCTTCCTTTCCTATTGGCCAACAGTTCTTTATTATTAACCAGTATGAGAAACATATACAGAATGACATCTCCCATCAGGGACCAAGCTGTGAGAGGGAAGGAATCAGCAAGGTGCATGATGAATCTCTGAAAATGTCTTAACTGAATCTGTGACCTTGCAGCAAAATGTTAGCAATAGTGATAAAGCCAGGGCAGCTGTCAGACATCTGCAGTGAAGTGACTCAATGGGACAATTCCCTGCCTCTTTTTAATTTATTCTTTGTGTCTTTCACATCACGCCTCCCCATCCCACCCCAAAATAAAACAAAATAAAATTCAAGAGGGAAAGAAAGAGACAGGCAGACAAAGGAAAAGAAGAAGACAGGGGGAAATCTTGTCATGGAAGCTGCAGTGTGACACGGGACGCAGTAAACCCCTTTATCCACATATTTTTACATGCAGACATTTATTGAGAAGAATCATTGGTCTGGTCTGAGGCCCCTGGTCTCTGCTCCACCATCAATGCTGGGCCCTCACTGGGGCTCTTCCTGGACATCGTTTGCTGCCCTGTATGGTGGAGATCCTGCAGCTCTGGGTCCATCAGACTGTGCCCCCACTCCATCCCTGTGCTCCAGCAGATCCCAGGTGGGATGGATATTGGGGTGGGCCAACACATAACCCTGGTTCTGGGCCTGGGTAGCTGCAGGGTTGGTCAGCCCGCCAGCTCTCCCTGTCCTCACCACTAGGGTGAGCACTGCCTTGGCTAGTTCACCCTTTGCAGCAATAGGCAAGGGGCGGGGCCAGTTCTCCCGCTTCCAGGATCGGTTCTCCCACACTTAAGCCTTCGGGGCCAGCTCTACTGTGTTGTCTAGTGGAGGTGTAGGGGCCACTCTCCCTACTGCTGCAGCTGATGGGGGCAGGGCCAGTTCCCTCACCTGCCTCAGGCATTGATGGGAAAGAGGGCATCTCTCCCCCATGAGACAGATGAGTAATGGGGACAGCTCTCCCATGGTCACAACTTTGGGGCTGGCTCACCCACCCCTCTGCCAACAGGGTTGGCTCTATTGTGTTGCCCAGTGCAGGGCCTGCTCTCCCAAGTGCTGCAGCTGGTGAGGTGTTGGGTCAGGGGTGAGGAGAGGAGGGGGTCTTCCCATTCTCATACCCTCAGGGCCAGCTTGCCCATGCCTCTTCTGACAGGGCCAACTGTGTTGTGCTGCCCAGGTGAGATGTAGGATCCTCTCTGCTGAGTGTTTTAGCCAGCGAGGGACAGGACCAGTTCTCCCTAGTGTTACTATCAGTGAGGGGGAGGCCAACTTTGTACAGCCCTATCCTCTCTGCCTTTGCTGGTGTCAGCAGCCACAAAGATCAGCAGAGACCGTGGCTGCATCAGAGCCATGAACCCAGGCATGGGCCCCAGCAGAAGCCCAGGCCCAGACATCGCCATGGTCCTGGGTGGAATGAAGGCACCCACCTCACCCTACTCCTCATCTTTTCAGATGTGCCTCTGTCCGCAGAGCATGCACCATTTCCTCTCTCTTTCTCTCATCACACCATACATTTGCTCACCATAGTGGTGCCCGTCTGCCTCTCACCACAGGGTACCAGGTGGACCAGTGTTTTCTTCCCAGAGCCTGGGTTGAACGGCCCCACCCAGTCCCACATGTGTCTTCTTGTCCAGTTTAGACCATCATGACCCTGGGCAGGACCATGCCTTCCCATCGCAAACAGATCATAATAGTGCCCAATGGCACCAGGCAGGCTCCCGGTTGGTGCGGAGGTGTTGCTGGAGGTTTCCAAGCCTGGGCTAGAAAGGCCCACCTGTGATCCCTTGAGTTCCAATGCCCACCACATGTCATGGGGCAGGAGCAGGATGGTTCTCTTTAGAGTTCATTCTGGTTACAGGAGGAAGTGGAGGGATAAGAAAGGCAGTGGGGGACGAGGAGGGGGCTGTCATCATTGTCCTGGGGTGGGACGAGGGGTGGCAGTGGACTCTGTAGAGTTTAAAGGTATTTTGGAGTAGTTTTGTTGGAGTTGAGAGCTGAGTGAAGGGGAGGTTTGTGGTGGAGGGAGACATCACCTAGTGCGGTCAGAGGACATGGGTGCAAGGTAGAGGAAGGGAACGTTGAGTGGGTGCTGAGATGTCTAGCTGTGATGCTCTGGTATGAAACCAAGAATGGAGGATGAACGTGACACCTGCAGGGCTTTGGACACGAGGGTTGTTGAGGCATCTGATAACACCACCAGGCATGGGCAGTAGCAGACAGGGAGATTGAAGCCAACCCCACACGTGAACCTGTGCTACAAAACCAGGGCCCAAAGTCCATGCTCATCATGATCTACGGTAGAACCTGGGACAGTTATGGCAAGGAGAAAGCCAAATTTGGTGCTCACACTGCCTTCTAGCTTTGTCCTGAGGATGCTGATTAGCATGGGGAAGATGGCCCAGTGAGGCTTAGAGCCGGGCTGCTAACTGCTAGTATGCACCGACATTTGTGCCATTCGCCAATATACGGGCCAAGAGAGGGCCTGGGGATGCTCAGGAGACTCTGACTATCTGAAGCTCCAGTCCCCAGCTCTTCTGCTTACCTTACTTGGCCATTCTCCTTTGGACCAATCCCCCTCTGTATAGTGGGTGGCTGAGGGAGGGTGGTTCTCAGGTGGCCGTGGGCCAGATCTACTGGGAAATCAGAAGCAGGTTCAGGAAAACTCACTCTCTGGGAGTCCAGGTTCTTGTCTGCAGACTCTCGGTGGGAGGAAGATTTATTGAGTAGTGGAGCAGGAGGCCACCAGGCCTTCTGCCTTGTATTGGGGACATCTCTTTGCCAAGGGCGTTGTTTCCATTGCTGGTGTTACTGAGGCTATTGAATGGGCTCTGTGGTTTTGAGTCACTGACCCCTGCCTCTCTGATGTTTTAGACTTATAACAGCCAGAGCGAGAGCAATGAAGACTATGAGATCCCTCCTATAACGCCTCCCAACCTCCCTGAGCCATCCCTCCTGCACCTGGGGGACCACGAAGCCAGTTACCACTCGCTGTGTCACGGCCTTGCGCCCAACGGTCTGCTCCCTGCCTACTCGTACCAAGCTATGGATCTCCCAGCCATCATGGTGTCCAACATGCTAGCCCAGGATAGTCACCTGCTGTCTGGCCAGCTGCCCACG